TACAGACGGACTTACAGCATGTGTCAGGTTACGGCTTGTAAGCGAAACGCCTTTAAAAAAAAAGAAAAAAGAAAAGAAGAGTTTTTTTTGTACGTCATACAGAACGGCAAGGCAAAAGAAAAAAATCATACAGCTCTATCGCAAAATAATTATAATAGCTTTGCTTATAACAAATTTTTATCAAAAAAATGGTCACTAAATTAGCCCCCAATGCGTCTGCTGCTTCTCTCTATTTTATATATTTTTTGTTTCTTTTCTATTTTGAAATTAATTTTTTTTTCTTACTGACATACATCAAAACCAAAAACTTTCAGTTTTCTTTTTCTTTGAATTAATATTTATCTTTCTCTTCCTTAAACCTGAAAAACTTCTTTTTTCTTCAACAACCTCTTTTTGTTTTAATCGCTGTCCTCCTCCTCCCGCACCGAATCTCAAGACCAACGCAAGAAAACCGATAAAAATGGCGTCAGCATGTCTCCCGCCACGAAATTTGTTTTCATGCAAGAACTTGAAGAAAAAGGAAGTGAAAGAAGATTGCTAAGCTAAAACCTCATATTACAGCAGTGAAATAGAGGGATTCTGGCGCATATTTTCTTTCCCATTTCATGACCGCATTCCTGCCTTTATTCATATGGTGATTCATCTTCAAAATTAATTAAAATCAATAAAAGTAATTTTTTAAATTATGACAAAGTAAAGTATTTGCAATCACATTTTTTTATTCACATGTATCAAAATATCTCACTTTTAATAACGTTCGCATTAGTAGTAGCATCATTTGGCATTGTCGTGACTTTGTGGGATGTCAGAAAAACTGCTGCTTTAAATTTGCCATTAACTATACAAAATATTTAAACACATACTTGCAATATTAGGAAAAAATACCCCAAGCATGCGAAATAATTAGTTGGGATGAGTGTACTATGGCGCCCTAAAAATTATTGGATGCACTAAGTCGAACATTTAAAGATTTGAAAGAAAATAGTCATATTTTTGGTGGCATATACACAATAACTGAGTCGTAAAATTGCGTGCATATGATGCTGATAAACACAAATATAAACATTTTTCAATACACCTAAAACTGATATAATAGTTTTAATTATTTAGTTGTGTTTTTCTTTCAAATCTGTCTGAAACGATGTTGAATGGTTCTGCTAATTATTGCGTAAATACTTACAATTAGTTAAATGTGTAATATACGTGAGTTCTTTTATTTATTTATTTTTTTGTTGTTGTATGTGTCAATATGTACCCTCACATTATTTACAAACTTATGCTGTGCTTACACAAACATAAACACTATTACGACCGTATGAACATAAGCGACAAGTCTTTACAGAGAAGAGTTCTATTGTCAACAATATATAAGTTGCATATTTACAAAATCACTATACACTTTAAGGCAAAAAATCGTTGAAATCAAACGGTAGACCTCAAAAAATGTATTTTCAGTAATTTTGAACCCTTTCAGCATTCCACTATGCACGACTTGACGCTTTGTCAAAAATCAACCACCTAACGAAGGCTAGAATTGCTTTAATTATTTTAGATCCACTATATTTTAAGTGTTTAAGTAAATGGTCAACAACTAATTTCACTGTAATATATTTTAAGACTATTCTATCAGCACCGTTTCATATCGCATATATAATGAAGTTGCTATTTTGGTTCCTACACCATGTGCAAATTTATACATACATCGCATGCTTTCTTCATTGTTGCCTCTTAGAGCAATCGATAATTTTGCATTTATTTCTTTTCTATTGGTGAAATAATTTAGTTCAAAACAGCATTTACATTAATCATTCGTTGACAAAACCGATAAAATTCTTTGAAAAAATTGAAAACTTATTCGATGTTATAACATCATTGCAAAATTAAAAACTAACCAAAGAGTCGTGATGAACCATTTGCATAAACTAAAGAAATTCGAAGTTTCGATATGATATGAATTAACGAAATTGAGTCGTTTTTTAAGTTATTGATCATATCCCAAAAAAGATGGATCGCACATAAAATGATATGCAAAAAATCGTGGATGAAACTTCACGAAGTCCAGAAAAACCCCGGAAATGAGTTCCAATCTCTGCTTTTACTAATGCGATGAAAGACAAATTAATAAAAAGGTCGTCATCTTCCATTACGACACTGCAAGACTATGCATATCTTTAATCATTCGACGAAAATTAAGAAAATTTGGCTGGGGCATTTTGATGCATACAAAGTATTGCCTGGACCTTCCCTCTTTCGACTGTCATATCTTTCACTCTCTGCAGTGTTTTCTAATTGATATAAATCCAAATTTCAGAAATACTACAATAAGAGCAAAATGATTCTACCAGAAAAATAATAAAAAGTTATCATTACATCACAAATGAAATTAATGAAAACGTGTGTGAAGTTTGGTGAAAAATTTTTCTTGAAAATTTTATATATACGTTTGTTTAGTAAATAGCCGGGTAATAGCTGCAGTAAATTGAATAATTTATACCAAAATAGAAGCTTTTTTTCGCATATCATATGCAAGAAACAAATATACAACTTGTTAACGCATGCAAAAGTAGATAAACAAGAAAGAGAACAGAGATATTCCTTTATTTTTTTAGCTTTAGCAGCTTCACTGCGCAAATGTGGAAGCAGACATCTCGTGGTATAAACACATTCCCAAATTGAATTGTTGGAATGAATTGATACTTCGGAGAGATTAACTGTTTCTAACTGGTTTTCAAGTCGTCTGCAAGTATTTAAATGGTGTCTATGCGATACGACTGGTATCTATTTACATAGGGTATAGGACTTTTTAAATACTATCCAGTGAGCATCTTTTTAGCATCAAAATATATTTAATTTACTCGTCTTCCCAATGACGGCTCTGGATTAACTTTTAGTCTGTAGAGCTTCGTATGATTCGTAAATTAAATTAAATATGGTCATTATTATCGATTGACAAGCTTCGCATTTTTGCATCGGTTTAATGGATCACTTCTAGTTTGACTCTATACTGCGTTGGAGTATGCCATTTTGCTAGTAATATATGTGCTCTTTTTCTTATTTCATCTTCCTTATTTATACAAAAACGTAATCTTTTCGTTATTTCTTTACTACTTATTTTATAGAAATTAGTCTTAATGTTTAAGATAAGATTGATTATTAAAAGACAAATCTATTCGGCTCTTATTTTATTGTACATGAATTGCATTTGTAAATAAATGAATAAATAAATAGGTATATAAAATCTTCCGTATTTAAAGGTTTTCTCTGACGAATCCAAATACAGACTGCGTTTTCAATAGTTTGCGTATTTGACTTTAGTTAATTTTAGCTGGAGAATTGCAAAAAGAAAATGCTAGTTTATAAAAAACTTTTTTGTAGTTATGAACTTGAAGCGGCTCACAGAACGTTAAAATCAGTGTATTGACTTTCTTTCGATGTTAATATCGGACCTAGCCTAGGCAATTTCAAGTACTTCGGATCGTATCGAATCAATTTTTTTTTTATCACATTTCATGACCTAACGCATCATCATATGTCACGATTCCCTAGCAGTTTTTTTCGAATTAACAAGAACAGCCACGCAACTACTGCCTGACGAAAACTTCGATTTCAGCTAATTATTTTAGATATTCAATGACATTAGACATGATTAATAACAAAGTATTTCTGAACTTTTTTAAAAGTTTTGAGGAAGTCAAAAGTATTTCTTTATGTTTCGATTATATGAGTATTTTTTTCAAAATATAGATGAATGGTACCCAATGGCATTAACTGTTGGAAATCAGTTTCTGTAAAGTAGATTATAATATAATTAATTGTCCTAGAAAGAGCAAGAATTTAAGCAGATCAAAAATCTTCATTGAGACCGGGAGAATTTTTTGAGGTCAATTACATCAAAAAGTAATTTCCACAAATAGTATGTAGTAGATCTCATGTATTCAGTATAAGCGCATAATGTAGAATAGGGTATAGTTCCAAATTGAAAGACGTACTGGTTTAATTAACTGCGTTCGAGTCAAAAAGTTCAAGGAAATTTTCTCCCAAATTTTTGTAATTCGCCATTATATTTACATAAGTTCGAAAGGAGTTTTCAGTGCTTTGGAATGAATGGTGATATGTGGATAAAAGTTTTCGTTAGGAGAGAAAAAGAAAGAAAGAAATAAAGGAAGAAAGAAAGAAAGAAAGAAAGAAAGAGAGAGAGAGAGAGAGAGAGAGAGAGAGAGAGAGAGAGAGAGAGAAAGAAATGTAAAACAATTATTAGTTCCTTGTCCAGATTGAATTTCTACATCAAGTGAAAAATTATACTCAAATCATAAAACTAGAAGTTACCTCCCTTCCTAATACGATATCTTATAACAAAAGTAGGAAAAGCTATTAAACAAAGGAAATTTAGTTTTGCCCTATTTAATTTAACTCAAAACATAGTGACAACAGATAAGAAAAAGGAATAAGGGACGTGATTGTTCGTTCAACAACATGTAAAATATGTTCTCTTTCTCTCCCGTTTTATCTCCGTCAATACCAACGTTTATTATCTCTTTATACGATATAACGGTTACAAGCACCTTGTGTTCGTATATAATGTAACTGAGAAAGACTTATATTCTTAAGCTAACATAAGAATAAATAGCTATATATGGATATATATGGATATATATATATATATATATGTGTATATATATATGTATATATATATATATGGATATATATATATATATGTGTATATATATATGGATATATATATATATGGATATATATATATATATATGTGTATATATATATGGATATATATATATGTACAGAATGTATATATAGAATATATATATAGAATGTTACTTAGGTGCTATTCCAAATCAGCAAAAGAAATTCAAGCATATGATCTTATGTAAATTTTTTTAAACCAATGAGTACGTGCATATGCACTAAGTGTTTGTATGCTCGGAAATTATGTATAATATATAAAAATTAAGCTGGAATATCTATTTTGTGCTTTGAGTGGTTACCTTCCAAGTTGCAGCATTGCGTCGAAAATAACAAAACGTATTTTGAAACCAGTTGTAGATTTCATTAAGAGTTAACTGCTTATCCGGAGATTCGATGATAGACTTTGAGAATAACGACGTTAAAGAATAAGAAAAATAAAAAAAAGGATTACTCCGCTTAAATATTACCCACCGCACACACTATTTTTACCTATACATTACTAATTTAATTTATTTCAATTATTTGTTTTTAAAAAAATTGATTTGCAACTTTGTAGTGGTTACATTTTAGTGACTTTAGTTTCATATAGAAAATTTGTAGCTTACTATTCAAATATTTTCTGGAATAATTAAATCGGAACGTGCATTGAATTCCGTGACAGTGTTGCTAGTCTCTTAAAGGGTAACACTACTGCAAATCTTTAGGAGATCATTTTTTTTTATTGGGTTACTTAACTCCTTCGATAGATAAAAAAGGGTGAACGTGAAAAAATTTGAAATGATCCAAAAATTCCAAATATAATTGTATACCATTGCGTTGCCATTTTGATATAGTTCAAAATTAGTTTACACTTACTATCTTCTCCAACTTTTATTACCTTTCCCTCCATTCCTAAATGTTACACTGATGTAAGCCCTTAACTGAAGTGGTGCGGTAAGTACTGAAGTAATAGATCTTTCCAGTTTAGGCAAGGTTTGACTCTAATTTACTCACCTGTCTTATGAGGGAAGCATAAGTAAAAGGTGGTCGAACGTCAGCATTCTTGTAAAATTCGCGATTCCTTTGTATTTCTACAAAATCAAAAAGACAATAGTTAATTGGAACAGCGACGAACACAATTGTTTGCCAACCTTGCTGTACGTCTAGACCGGCACGTTCTAGCATATAGGATAAACCTAAAAGTATGCCAAGACAAGCTTCTTAAATGAACTTTTCTCTTCCACTTTTGTTTAGCCAGATTTCGTTTTAAACTTACCACCCGTTAAAGATAAAGATGCTTTTTCACCAACACGCTTTCTATTGGTTGCTGTATTGGATGAATTCATATTCGACGAAGGCATGGGGCTAATCGTGGCAGGCGTTGTAATACTTGATGTTGCACTCATAGTCATGGAATTTTTAAAATGAGCTTCAGCTGCTGCTTCCTGTATTTATGTCAACAGTTACCTGAATGTTTACTAGTAAACCTACCTGTCTTTACCTTAATTTGACGGTTTTCAGGTGAAAGGAATTGTTTAATCAAATAAAGGTGATGCATCATAGCTTGCAAACGGTCACGTTCCTTTTGCAGGTGCATTTCCAATTGAGAAACGACTTGCATTTGCACTCGTGCCTGCGCTGTAGAGCGATCATCCAAGCAATGTTCGCTATTTAAATGGCTTTAAAAACATATGTAAGAAAAGAAAAGTTGGTACAAATTTTTTTGAATGAGTAATCTAACAATTTAATACAATAGATAATAAAAAATTCGTACATAATAAACTAGTTTTTTGAATTATTATATAAAATAAACACCTTTTTTGGCGAAGGAATAAAAGTAGAATGGAAGCAGTGCAAAACGGAAGAGAGCGAAACTCAAGGAAGAATTCCATGAAAAGAAAAAAACCTCTACTGAAAGAAGCAACAAAGGGAGTGTTTTGATTTTGGAAGTTGCTTTACAGTAGCTACCACAATTCCTAATAGCAACTATGCCGTACAAATATGTTTTTTTTTACGTATATATACTTTAAAGCGCAATTGAGGCAAAAGAAAAAAAGAGTGATTGTCCAGCAGGATAATGGACTCTAGTAGAAAAATTAAACAAAATCGGAGCTATTGAAACGCGAAGAAGGCGTGATTAGAAGGCGGGAGGGAAGTTCTATAGCGATGTAGTAGAGAATGCGAGGAAAAGTGAGATCCTGCTGAAACTGAATAAGGATATGGTTAAGATAAAACAAAACCAGAATTGTGAGACAATGTTGGAATTAAAAAGATTCTACAAAGGAAAGTCGATGAAGTGTAAAGAAACAATTGAAGAAGAAATAGTTGTAGCTAAAAACTCTTCATCACCATGGAATAGATCCAAATTCAATGGAAGGAATGAGGACATTTTTTGCAGGCACGTGGATGGCAATTGTGGGACTGTCTAGCTGGCCACGGACTTACTACGGAAGACAAGGATAAAAACTAGATGGAGGGTTTGCAGTATGCGCGAAATTTCAGCACCCGCTAGATGTTTTAAATGTCAGGAATTTGGCTTTATAACGAGAGCCTGCAAACGAAAGTCGACATGAGTCCAAATTGCAGCAAGCCAAGACATAAAGGTAAAGAGTGTAAAAATAAGCCCAAACGATTTATCTATCGTGGAAAAGGACTAGTCATAAGCCACCCTATAAGGATTAGGCGTTACCCTCCATGTTAGATAGTTATTGCTAAAACTGCGATAAATTAACTTGAATATTTCTTGATACTTCTTATTTCCCCAATTAATTTCCGATTGCTACGTAGTCCACTTTTTTATACAATGTGACCTATATACGAGATTTCATTTTAAAAAAAGTGCACGTTCGTAGATTTTTTGCCTATCACGTCATTAATCAATATGTGGTCAAAAAATATTATGGGTCCCTCTATGGCAGATAAAAAATGCATTAACTTTGAAATAAGGTAGGGGTTTAATCACAGACTATAGGTGAAGAACTCTTTTGCCTCGCTTTGCCGGTGACATAGTGTAATTGACTGTACCGAAACAAGCTCTTAATCAATGATACCCTACCATATTAATGAATTTTCATTTAACCCAAACGCAAGGTAATGTTAACAACAGAGTTTGGTTTTTACTCTAAATTCGAACATTAAGTGTGACTTGTAATCCTTCCTCTCTAGTTTCACATAAAGCTGTTATATCGCCTCCGATCGCTTGGCTCCTTTGCCGGTCTTGCGGACATTTCATCGTCTAATTCGTTAATTGCATCGAACGCTCTATCCTTAAATTAAGATTATAGCAGATTTAAGGCCGGGAAATTCTCCCTGTCTCATTAATGTTGATGCGACAAGTAAATTTCGTCCCACTGGTCACCATCAGTTTAAATCATTAAAAAAAAAATAAACAAAAATAATAAGTCCAGCTCTGCTCCAGTTCTTTCAATTTATCGTCAGAGCATCTGGTTGCATAAACAATTAGAGTCACTGCGTTTCTTACTACAAATTATGTTTTCTTGATATTCTTACCATACCGGAAAGCAATATTTGTTTTAAGCCTGACACCAGATATCCATCGTGATAATGGAAAGGATTACCTTGCTGTAAACGTTCCACCCCTTAACCAAGACCGTGTCAGTATTTTCAAATTATCTTTATCTCAGTCTAGAATTCTCTCGTCCTTGAGAGTCTCAGGCCTAGTGACTATCATTTGTCAAAATCTTAGAAATCTAAATAGCAAAATTCTGTGTACTTCCCTTAATTCAATGAGCACAGAAGTTTCCAGTTCGGCTTTTACTAAAACTTTTAAAAGTTCCTGCTAACATCTTGTATGTTTTCAGAAAACACCGGTTAGGTCGTATTAATGGTGGTGCGTGGGTTGCGTATTGGGTTCTCTCTCAACTCCTCCCAACGTTAAAGTTATTGTCGCTCATGTAAGAAATGGTTATAAACATTTATATTTAACTTGGTTTTATAACATGTAGCTCCGTTACGATCTGCAGGTCTAAGTGAGCGGTCAACGCGCTGGTCTATCTCTTTTTTTTTCTTTGTTTATTGCATTGTTTTGATTTACATATCTGTTACAAATATAAGTGAACAAGACATAAAAACTTGAAATGTGCGAGTTCAGGATGCTCTGAATACACCATGCCATTCCAAAGTTATAAGCAGAAAATCTCCTGGTAATGGAAAAGAAACAGTTGGCTCCCGTTGCAAGCAAACAACGATGATCCTGCGAAAATGGATTCTGGTAATATTGTTCACAAAAAAGACTATACGCCAATAAAATTGCTACATGAAAATTCTTTTGATATTAAAAATCTGTTTTTAAGAAAGAACATCAAAGAGTTTTTAGTAAAAAAATGTAAATTCGCGTCAAAGTCCCGTGTGGGTTTGACGGGCCACGCAATAAAATAGAAAATATCTCGAAAAATACAAACTACGTCAAAATGTTCGTCAAAAAATAAGACCATTGATAGATTAACATATTTCGTCTATTTTGACAACGGTATAGTACCTTTAAATCCCCTGCGCCAGAATATTAAAACATAATTCCAAGCTGTTGTTCGTTGGGATGGGAAGAAAGAAATATCTTTCACTTGATTGTCCAAACATCCAACTGTTCGAACATGGCGAATGCTCTTTTCACATATAGCTGAAATTATTGCGATACTAATTGTATTGAAATAATACTTCCGGGGGAAATCCGTGTCCAAACCATGCCGTTTATCTCCAAAAAAGAGACAAATTGAATAACAAAAGCGCAATCCGAGGGACAAGATCCCAGAATAGCTCTTCCTCAGGTAGCCTCTCTGTTGAGCAAAACAACTTGATGTTTCCAGCTTTGTACCGCGAAGCTAGTTTAAGATCTGGTAAGAATAATTTCTGTTATCTTGCAAGACATCACTCGCTTTAGTACTTGAATACAATATCAATCTTTTCAAAGAAAATGAAATCGGTCAGTCAGCTTTTGATGTTGCTCTTATGAACTATGTGCTGCTATTTCAAAGATTGTTAATCATTTGCTTAGAACAGTTGGAATAGTAGCTTCCTTATTTCACTTTCCAAGAGTAAAGACAAACATCTCGTTAAGATCTATATAGCCATTGCCAAGCTGATTGTGTTACCTAAATTGTTTTCGAATCTTACATTTATCCATTTCAGCATGGATTACCGAAAGGAATATCAACTGTTACGAACATATTATACTTCACTTGTTGCGTTTGCAAGGCTGTCTCAAGTCGGCTGCGCACGGATGTCATATACGCTGATTCCAGTAAATATCTTGACCTAGTAAGTAATAATATTATTGATTTTCAACCTTCTGCCCTCCGGCTCTCCTTCACCCTTTTTAAAATAGATAAACCCTTGTCTTCATCACAGATCATTTAGGGTTCTGTTTAACTCCATTACCTCTGGTAAACACCCCGTGACATCAGGTGTCGCTTAAGGCACCTGCTTACGGCGCTTTTTATTCATCGTATCCATCAATGATCTCCCTACAGTGATTAAATCCAGCCAAATCTTAATGTACGCTGACGATCTTAACTCTTTTTTTCATTTGCCTTGGAATCGCACTCATATCTTTTTCAGTCTGACTTAAATAAATTGCTTACATCAACAAGCGTTCCTTACGTAGGCGGAAGTCATTCAACACTAAGTACTTCATAAATTTACATACATTGGAAAATGTGGATTCGTTCATAGATTTGGGGTTTCTTTTAAGCAAAGACTACGTTTTAACCTGCATGTTGTTATTAAACCGTGGTCCAAAGAACTTCATGATGCACATATTACAAAAAGGCTATAGCTTAGTTAGATCAATACTTGAGAATGCCTCAATGTGATCTTCCTATTGTTATTTTATAAGTTAAAGATAATATAGAATCCGTTCAAAAGCATCTTCTCTTAGGAATTCGGGTACGAAGCCGTTTGCCTTTTTGCTTTCTTTTGCAAATAGACTCCTGTCCTTAGCCTTACCATCACTTGAATACCGTAGATTAGTCCTTGATGTTTCCTCCTTAATTAAATGAATAAATGGAATTATCGATTCGCTGACGTTAGGTAGTAAAACTTCGATGTTCCAACCCGTTTTTCTGGGAACTTTATTTTCACGAAACTTAGGGAAGGTGGATATAATATAATTAGGAGCTTTTCAGCCCATACAAAACCCTTTGCAAAAATCTGAATTCTATCAAATCCTTAATATACGCGATTTGCCTACATCGTATTTAAATTAATTTGCAATCTTAATATAATATACGAAAATTAACTAAGTTTGCTTACTTTATCTGTTCCTAAGTTTTTGAATGTTTGCAATGGCTTAGAAGTTCATTCACATCCCACATTCACATCCAGCTGCGGGTGTGTCTTTCTGTGTAAGATGTGTATATGCTGCTGTTTATGTTTTTTCTGCTCTTATATATTTGTGCATGAATTTTATTTTTTTTTATTTTTTCATCATATTTTTTTGTTTACTTTTCTTTATGCACTTATTAATAGTTACCAATAATAGTTAGCTTTAAATTTTTTTTAAAGAATCAATTGAATTCGGCTGTTCATTTATTTTCGCTGAATTTTATAAGTAAATAAGGTACATAAGTAAACAAATAATATTCTTAAGATGTGCCGAGAACAATTTACTGTTATAAAGGTAATGGTAGTTCTACACGATTCATTAATGTCTATATTCCTGGAG